AGCGTGCTTCTTCCCCGTATGACGGTGGTCGTACAAAACTCCCAGCAGACATGTCGGAAGCATGTATGAAGCAAAATTTGGTTAGATGATGTCCGAAGCGCGTTCTCGGAACATTCTGTCCTCATATATGTGCAGGGCACTCTGCTGTTAGCCGGGGTCACACTGCCTTTACATTTTACAAAAGACAGTCTGCGTCCAATGAAAATTTACCATGGCGCTCCCCAAGGTTCTATTTTAAAACCCCTGCTATTCCTTGTATATATAAATGATTTAACGGAAATACCTGGTTGCCAGGAACTAATAATGTATGCCGACGACACAAGTGTTTTCCTTTCTGGTGTAACAAAAAAAGGTTATAGAGACACTAACTAATGAATATCTGTTGAAGCTATCCAAATGGTTAGAACTCAATCGCTTATATTAAATACAAATAAAATAAAGTATGTAATTTTTAGGCCGGTAAATAAACGAGATGACAACACTGTCCACATAAAATTTGAAGGCACGGTACTGGAGCAAGTGACAAATCAAAAGTTTTTCGGTGTATGGTTCGGTGAGGACCTTTCATAGACAACACGTATCAATAGACTCAAAGCTGGCTTATCTCGAGTGACTGGGTGTATTTTTAAAATGCAACATTTACTGACTACTGCTCACTTTTTTACCCCAAAATGAGCTATGGTATTATGGTCTGGGCTACAACGGCTGGTACAAACTACAATAAGTTAATCCGACTACAGAAGAAGATATTACGTATATGGGAAAATTATAAAGGGGATAGAAGGGACCTACGCACACAGCCACAATTTATCAAGTATAATATGCTGAAGGCAGACCAGATCTATTATTTCAAACTCTCGCAATGCATAGAGGTAAACAAACCTCACACCGCACCAACAAATAGTTTGAATCCATGCAAATTACGAGATCCAAAGCGAAAGATGCCAGCCATAACGACGAACTACGGTCGGCAAGCCTTAACTATCAGATAACTATAACTTTAAACGGAACAGATATAGACATAGATTTTGATCAAGCGTTATATACTTTCAAAAACATTGCAGAAAGATGCTAGTGTTAAATGACATTACATCTTCAATTGTATAATGTGCTCTCCAGTTTGGGATGTGTCCATCATATAGTTTATTCTAACTAATGTCCTTTTCGTGAACTGTTCATTTTACTCATTTTTTTTTAAAGAATATATAAGATTTTGTGCATTTTAGTATATATCGTAACAGTGGCGTGGCTGATGTTCCCTATGTCTAGTGTTGCTTTTTATTTCTCCCAGAGTCATTTCATATTTTTTCCATAGTTGTTTTATATTTGTTGAATAGTTCTTTCTTATTTTGTAGACTGTATAGACAGTATACATACTAAATTAGAAATAGCCCTAATACGAGGACAGACGAAGAAGTGGACAAGACAGGCGTTAACTCACAACTGACGGCTTTATATACAACGAGTTTTAGTCTTAGTCTAACAAGCTCCTTTCTTAGAATGCCCCAGCTAGAAATATAATTATTTCTTCTCCTTTTTTCAACACCAGCCACTTCCTTCACCTTTTTCTTTCTCGTTGTATATAAAACCGTCAGTTGTGAGTTAGCGCCTGTCTTGTTCACTTCTTCGTCTGTCCTTGTCTTAGCGCTATTTGTAATTTAGTATTCACGAATGATGTTTAGATGTCCCTTTTTGACGTCACGAAGAAGGACTTATATAGCTTTGTCTAGACTATTTAGCTTTGGACAAGAGGTGCAAGAACCGTGCATGTCCCTTCAAAAGATTCATGAGACGACTTCTGGACCTTCGTCCGGCAAGATCCTTGTTCTCACGCGGAAATTATCGGGACAAGTTTGCGACAGGTCGATCAGGATCTAACTGAATGGTGTTTTACATGCATCCGAATCTATACGCGGAAGTACATGCCCTCTCTTCTCTCCAAAAATCTGTCGAAATAGCACTCGAACTTGATCCACAATCCTCACCGATCGGAATATTATTAGAGCCGTAGAATTTAAGCTGATTGTTCGAAAGTATGAATTTTGGTGAAAGAAGTTTTGACTAATGAAAATTGCAGAGGCGCTATTGTGGTGAGCAGCGCCTATGAAATACTCGCCTGCCTTCTTCAGTTTTGCTCTATTAGAGAGAAAGTCGTCGAAAATATTGAGCGAGTTTGTTTCGGGATCTAAATTTTGTGAAATGTTCTCAATGAACACAACGTCTGAATGGTCTTAAAAAAAACGGTTGCTCGTGACAGACGCCGGCGTCTTAGGCAGGACTTCATTGAGAACGAGCGTCATGACGTCCCGTTTGCAAATGGAAAAGGCAGTGTATCTACCTGTTTCTATATACGCCTGATACATTTACCCCTTTCCTTACAAAAAAGACACGATAAGACGACCGGTGAGTTTGCTTGCGGCGGCTTATCAAAGCGATAAACTCGAAATCAACCGCCCCGCTGCTGTCGAATTCCCGCTTAACACGCAACCGTTCGTCAGCCCGCAAACTGACTGCTTTAAAGCGAAGAACGGAAGCAACAGAAACCTAATACGATGCATGGTGTCAAATTCTCGATTGTGAAGGCTGTCGCGTCTAGACGTGTCTCGTTATCATCGTTTCGTAAACAGGTTGCTATAAATTGACGGACGTCCACCGTCTCTTCAGATCGTGCCACTACAAGTGAGGTAAGGGAAACAAAATGTTTGAAACGCGTTTATTTGATTTTTTTAAGATACCCTTTCATTACAGCAGCCCTCTGCCGCCGCCGACCCAATGATGGAGAACCTCCTGGACAAGCTTAGCTCCCGGCGATCGTCGTCAAACTTTGTTAAGATGGATCTCATTCCGACTAATGTCAAGCTGCCTCTGTTAGTCATTGGACGTTTAGATACACGTTACGGGTCGTTCGTCTTTGTATCCCCCCAGCTGGCAGACGACATTGTCAAGGTATTTTTACCTAAAGGCTTTCTGGAGCTCAGTGACGAAGAGCTTGAAAGTATGCGTCACTTGACGGGATTAGTACTGCAGAAAAGCAAGGGCGACGAGTGGTCATACGCCATTGTCTTCTAGAAGTTGGATATTTAGGTGTTTTTTCTCCATGGTAACTTGTCATCTGTGTGACGTTCCCGAGAGGCAACAATATCTCAATGCAGAGGCATTACCAATACATCTGGCTCTATACATAATGTTCCCTATCAAGAATGCATTCCATCTTGTGTGGGCCTCTGCGCTTTTCGAAACTTCACGGTGCGCTATGATGTGCGTTTCCATGAGCGTGATGACGATCGCTCACGACATCTCTACTCTGTAGGTTCTGAAGCTAGGTTGCGTACAACACCACTTGGAACTTGCTGGGTCCTCAGGAAGACACACTTGCCTAGAATCGACAAACACGGCACTAGTGGTAGGTGAGCCTCGGTCGACCTGGAAATAGTATTGGACTGCCAAACTTCCCAACAGCTGTGGTCACTGCGGCAGATTGTTCCAAGGGAAAAGCTCCGCTCGGATCTTGCTGGGGGCCCTCAGGAGGACACGCACTCCTAGAATGGGCAGAAATGGCACTAGTAATAGGTGTGCCTCGGTCGACCACGAAACAGTGTAGGACTGCCAAACTAATGAGCAGTTGCGGTTGCTGCAGTAATCCGTCCGGGGAATGTTTCAGTACTGTGGGCATTGCCCAATTGCTGTTACTGTAACAGTCTTGATACTATAGCGCCACCGCCACACTGAGTGAGAGACGACAATAAAGACGAAGCACTTGCTTCCTGCCCGCTGAACCGGATGCCTCGCTGACTGATACATGGTGTCAGAAGTCGTTCGAACGTCATCACAAGCCCTGCGGTAGCCTCAGCCATGGAAGGACTGAAACCGCCAGAGCCGCTCCAGTTTTCAGGCAACGTTGCTGAGAACTGGAGGCGTTTCAAGCAACGGTTCGAAATATTCATGACAGCTACGGAGCCACCCGCCAAAAGGAAGGAGGGACAGAAGATCGCGTTGTTGCTGCATGTTGCCGGGGAGCAGCCCGTGGAAGTCTACGACACTTTCAACGTCGAGGGGGAGCAAACCTACGAGGCCGTGGTGGAAATGTTTCATAACTACTGTTCTCCCAAGAAGAATGAAACGTACGAGCGTTACGTATTCAGGATGCGAGAGCAGGCAGAAGGTGAGCTGTTTGAGCAATTCTACAGAGACCTTTTGTTGAAGGCTAAGACCTGCGAATTTGGCAGTTTGGCAGACTCGATGATCAGAGATCAGATAGTGTATGGTATATCGAACAAGAAACTACGTCAAAGACTGTTGCGAGAGCAGGACTTATCGCTTACCAGAGCAGTGGACATGTGTAAAGCGAACGAAATAGCAGAAAAACAAAACAAAGTTTGGGACAAGCCAGAAGAGTCCGTTCTGAGTATTAACCAGACAACTAAAAGACGTTCGACGGTGCCAGTGGAAGCACCACCTAGACCTGACCGCTGTCAGAAGTGTAACTTCATTCACAAAGGAACAAGCTGTCCAGCAACAGGAAAAGAATGCAGGAGATGCCATCGCCGAGGTCATTTCGCGTTTTGCTGTCCGAAGCAACGGGTGAACGCGATAACTAACGAAAACGACGATCAAGCCGCGGATGCCGGGGAGTGACTTTGAAATTCTGGAGGTGGGAGCACGCACTTCTGCAAGTAATCAAGCAGAGTGGCTGATACCGGCGAAGGTAGCTGATAAGGATATCATGCTGAAGATTGATACTGGAGCCCAAGCAAACTTGTTGCCACTGTCGTGGTGGAAACGAGCAGGCAGGAGTGCGGATTTGCGAAGGAGCACGGCAATTTTGCGCAGTTACAGTGGCGGCATAATTGCACACGCAGGAAAAGCATCCTTGACTGTGGAGTGGAACAACACAAAAGAACTCATCGAGTTCTTCATTGTAAAAAAGTCGCGGGCTCCCCATTCTCGGTCTCCAGGCTAGTGAACTCCTTGGACTCGTGAATCGCGTTTCGGCAGTTTCCTGCGATAACTTGAGCGCAGTGACCTCCGAATTCCCCGAGGTGTTCCAGGGGTTAGGTTGTGTGAAACGGGCATACCACATGGTGCTGAAGGAAGGAGCCAGGCCAACGGTGCAAGCAGCCCGGCGAGTCCCTCAAGCTTTGCGGCAGCCACTGGAGAGGGAGCTGCAGCGCTTAACCGCCGCCAACGTTATCCGGAAAGTGGATGAGCCAACTGACTGGGTGAGTCCTTTGGTTATTGCGCTAAAAAAAGACGGACAGCTCAGGGTATGTCTGGATCCCCGGAACATAAACGAGTGGGTGAAGCGAGAGCATTACCAACTTCCCAAAAGGGAAGACATTGAGGCAGAGCTCTCTGATGCACGATGGTTTTCAACCCTTGATGCAAATTCCGGGTTTCACCAAATACCGTTAGATGATGAGACCACGAGAATCTGCACATTTGCTACTCTATTTGGAAGATACCAGTACCCGGCTACCGTTTGGAATAGCTTCTGCACCAGAAGTATTTCAGAAGACCATGTCTCAAATGCTTGAGGGTTTACCCGGAGTTCGAGTATACATCGATGACATCCTGGTGTGGGGTAGAGCACAGGCCGAGCACAATGACAGATTACGCGCTGTACTGCAGAGAGCCAGTCAAGAGGGTCTCACGTTCAACATGAGCAAGTGCAAACTCGCCCGCAAGGAAATTGAGTTCTTGGGGGACGTTATTAATGAAAATGGTATCTCCCCAAGCCCAGCTCTCGTTAAGAGCATTCACAATTTTCCACAACCAGTAAGTCAGAAAGAAGTGCAAAGATTATTGGGATTTACAAACTACTTTGGTAAATTTTTGCCTAACTTGTCCTTGAGGACAACGTTAATGCGCGGAGTTATTAAAGACAGCTCAGTGTTCGAGTGGTCTGACGCACACCAAATGGAATGGGAACACTTGAAAAATCTCATATCTACAACCCCAGTGCTCGCACTCTTTGATCCGGCAAAACCCACGAAAGTATCTTCGGATGCTTCAAAATATGGGATAGGCGCGGCGCTCTTACAACGACATGTTGAGGGGATGGAAACCAGTGGCCTACGCTTCAAGAGTCTTGTCTAGTGCGGAAACACGCTATTCGCAAATTGAAAAAGAGGCTCTTGGAGTCACTTATGGTCTTGAAAAATTCCACCACTTTGTGTACGGACGGCGAGTTATAGCGGAAACTGACCATAAGCCTCTGATTGCGATCGCAAAAAAAGTGTAGGAGATATGCCACCGCGCTTGCAGCGTTTCTTCTTGAGGCTCATGAAGTATGAGTTCCAGCTGACGTACGTCCCTGGCAGAGAGTTGGTGGTTCCAGACGTCCTTTCGAGAGCACTTCCCACTGGGCAGCCAAGCGGCACAGAACTAACCGATGTTGAGGTGCATGCATTGGAGCTTCAGCACACACTCGTAAGCGAAGCAACTAAGATTCAGCTCGTGCGTGAAACTGCTCGGGACACTGTCCTCACGAACGTAATTAACTGTCTCCGAGCAAACCTCCCTATTCATGGACAGTACAAACCTTTCGCCGGGGAATTAACAGAAGTATCTGGAGTTTTGTTTAAGGGCGTAAAGGTGGTGATCCCAGAGACCATGCGCCAGCGAATACTCGAGAGGATACACGATGGCCATCTTGGTATCAATAAGTGTAAAGCACGAGCAAGACAGCTAGTTTTCTGGCCCGGCATTAACGAAGATATCACGAGAATGATTCACCGGTGCTCAATCTGTCAACAGTTTGCGTACAAGCAACCGAACGAGCCACTAATGATGCGTGAGGTTCCGGGCTTACCATGGACGCGTGTTGGTGTTGACCTCTTTGAGCAGGCGGGGAACACGTACCTAGTTGCCTATGATGCCTTTTCCAACTTCCCAGAGGTAGAGAGGCTCAGAGAGGCAACATCAGAAACTATTATTTGGACATTAAGCAGCATGTTTGCTAGACACGGGATACCTCTAGAGGTGTGCAGCGACAACGGTCCACAGTTCTCGTCACGTCAGTTCCAGAGTTTCGCTTTGAAGTATGATTTTAAGCACACCACGTCCAGTCCGCATTTTCCACGTTCCAACGGACTTGCAGAAAAGGGTGTGCAAGTGGTAAAACGAATACTGCGGAAAACTGCTGAAGCTAATGAAGACTTCTGGCTGGGATTGCTTGGTTACAGGTCTACACCCCTGGAGGATGGCCGGTGCCCCAGCGAGCTTCTAATGGGACGCCGCATTAGGTCCCGTCTTCCTGACTTCACGCCAGCAGTTCCAAAACCAGCCAGAAAACACACACAGGATAACACTAAAGGATGTTTTTTGAAGCCACTACGGGAAGGTGACGTGGTACGTCTGAGGGACAAAGGACAGTGGGTCACAAAGGGCCACGTGTTAAGGAACGTGGCGCCTCGTTCTTCACTGGTTGTCACGCAGGATGGCCGGGAATATCGACGCAACAGAGAACACCTGCGACCAACGAATGAAGACCTGCAGAGTTCCGATCACTTTGAGGAGCACCTGGAAGATTCCCCAGCCTGTGCCCTGACCAGCATTCAAGCTACACCGGCTGCATGGACCCCAACAGTGCAGCATGATGATCCAGCCATCCCAACCACAGTCGCTACTTCAACGAGAACTCCGACCAACTCCCCAGCTGCAGTCAACTCCACAGCGAGAACAGAGGATGATCTGGCTAGTGAACTTAGACCATGTGTTACTCGGACATCAACCCGAACTGTGCGGCGACCCCAAAGGCTAAACTACGATCAGAACTTCCAGCAGCAAGCTTAACGGGCTTTTGAGTTATTGCTTTTTATATTTCGTGTTTTGTGTATTTTGTTTATTTTCGTATGTATTTCTTGTTGGTTTTTCATAGTCCAAAGAAAGGGAGATGTAACAGTCTTGATACTAGCGCCACCGCCACACTGAGTGAGAGACGACAATAAAGACGAAGCACTTGCTTCCTGCCCGCTGAACCGGATGCCTCGCTGACTGATACAGTTACTAAACTCGGGCTTTGCTGGGGGCGCCTTGGG